TACGTATCTTACGAGCATATATATAAATTTTCGTATCACTGTCACACAACAGTATTTCTGCAAAGAGCTATATATTAATTAATATTCATAGGTACTTAAGGCTAGTTTTTTTGTAAGAATCGCTAGCTTGAGTTTATTCTTGTCTTGGAATGTAATAATAAGCAATAGGAATTGTAAATCAAATTATACTAATAATAGATGTTGGATATAAACCGTACAATATATAGTCTAATAAAGTATAAGTATTCGGCGAGAAAATGAAGCTCGCGTTCTTAGTCATAAATGTGTATGGATTGAAATGAATGTTGTTAGATGTTATAATGATTATGTACGGAACCCTTCGTCCGCGAGTCCAACTCGCATTTGGCCGGTTCTTTTGACATACAATTGTTTGAAAAAGGGAACTAAAAACTTAATATTGTCATTGTTGTGACATTGATTTTTAGTCCTAAGTACGAAAAGTTTTTTATTGCATGCATTTAAAAATCTATTCGACACCTTTTGTTTAAATATTAGACTTAATATAATCGTAAATTCATATAAAAACTTGTTTTAATTGTCGCTTCTTTCAAAGCTTGAAAAGTAACTATAATACCCGCATTAACTGCTCTTGCAACCCTTAACTTTGTACGGCTTCCGGACAACGGTTAAAAATGTCTGAGCTTATAAAATTTCACTTTATTTCTTTATTACTCCATAATTCTATAATATTTACAGCATTATGATCAAAACTATTGCCGAATCTATAATATAATTAATAAATGAAAAACTTTCTACTTTTTCTTTTACGAAAATTGCCCGGACGGAGGAGTACGTAATTTCCCACAATTATAGTTTATGTAGAGAAGGGGTGCAGAATGCTAATATTTTTTTTAATTATGCGTTAAAAATAGATTAAATCAATGAAAACATTCTACACTCTACCATTTATAATCAAATATAATTACGGTCGAATATCGACCACTAGTAACTGTACTTATACAGTAATCTTCAAGTAATGATAAGTAAAGTAATTCGGACAGAGAGTTAAGGAAATTATCTTTCCCGCAATATATTATCAAAGAGAAGATTTTCTCTTATATATGTGATTATTTTTGTTCAATTTGTGTGGTTGCTTTTTGGTTTTCAAAAACATTGTCGCACTACAATTAATTGCTGCAGAGGTCAGAGTGACTTATATGCCTTGTCTAAAATCACCTTATATAAAATCACTTGTGTAATGTTCCATGTACAAAATAACTTCAGAAACATTTTGAAAGCTTTATAACCAACAAAAGGCATAGTCAATATTTTAAGGCTCAATTTTTCTAATTTTTTTTCTCTATACATGTTTTAAAATTTTAATTAATTTAAATGCCATGTCAAGTATGTTATTTAAGTTTTAAATTTTCTTATTTTTAAAATTTTTATAAATTTTTTTGTATTTAACAATCTGTAGACATAAGTAAATTTAATTTCATTATTAAATTCGAACTGTAAGCTCCACTACGCAGGAGATTGTGCGTTGTAAATCTCCACTATTTAATCATGATAATTGGCCGAGTATAGTGGTCACTTTGCCCACTGTCATTTTGTGGTGTGATATGGATTCAATTCCCACACATGTCGTGTCGCAATGTTAGTTGCCATACTCATCCGAAATGGCCTGATTGATTTTTATGACATTTTATATATATATATTTTGTAGGTCTGAGAATTATTGAATAATAATTTTGGAAAGGACTGATAAGAGAAAATTAAAAAAAAATGTGACATCCATGTGCTGTAATTGAGAGGACGTATTTTGATGAAGTAACAGCAGTTATTAACATGTGTTACAGTAGTTATCTATAGAATACAGAATCTAGAATATGGAATATAGAATCTAGAATATGGAGTATAATCTATATTATATAGAATCTAGAGATCTATGCATACCGAAACGCGATATGCATAGATCTCTAGATCGGTGCCGGTAGCCTGTGACCTCATTAAGGCACATTCAATGAGCTCATTACAATGAGTGCTTTTAGAGGCGCCTGTGCTACGAATTCCGCGTGCGGTGTTGACTGTACGTGATTGTACGTAATTGTTATACATTTATTTGCATACGAAAACACGCCGTTATAATGCCCAGTGTGATGATAACGACTGTACTTTAACAAGTTCTGAGCCTTTTCTGCCAGTCCTAAATAGAGTCTCCGCACGGAAGTGTTTAGATGGATCGCTTATAAAAGAATAGAACTTATGACTAAAGCATTTTATGGAAGTTTATAAAAATATGTTTAAGGAAATTTCGTAATTAAAAAAGTCTCTATTTATTATTACATAATACGCAATTTTCTCATCATTAGCAGCACAAAGTTTTTTTACATTTCGAAAAGACATATTGGTTTGGTAAAATCAAATGATTTGAAAAGAATGTCGTATCGATGAATAAATACTATGCTTGGTTACTCATTACAGTCAGTCTGTGGAAGTTATTAATATTTTTTTATGGTTGATTAAAAAGAATTCACTTAAATGAAAGTTTGATCTGCGTTGAAGTCTTTTACTCTGCATTGATTTTGTTTCAGATAAAGAAAAGTTCATTATTTTATTCAAACTTTTTTCGCATCCTGTCCTGTCATGACACACTTCCATTTTAACACTCAACTTCAAAAGAAACTCGGGCCTTATTAAGGTATCTTGCAAATTGAATATGACCATATACTTATTTTTGAAAATTACAGGTAAAATTTTATTAAAAGGGAAAATAAAACATAATTTTTGTTAAACATAATTCTTGTAAGAAACATATCGTAAGTTTGTAAATAAATTTCGAACCAAAAAAAAATCTTCAGATGTAAATTAAAGAATTAAATTAAATCATCAGATGTAATTAATAAAAAGATTTTCCTCGTAAAGTTTCACTCAACGATGTCAAAGTTAAATAAACATCTTGTAATTATCATGTAAACTAAATGTTACTTTTTTGGGTTGAGCATCTGTGGGGAACCCCGGAAATATGATTAGCATAGTTTACTCAACTCGGATATGCTTGCGAAGCGCCGATGTAACATGATTTTTAACGGGCTTAATCGATCGGTTTTACCGGCTGTTATATTGAACTTACTTGTCTATACTTACACAGTTAAGTGGAGAACTTGTAGGTGTGTTTCAGTGACGTTGGGAACTCATCCGTGTAATGGCTCACGATTGAAATTCGTAGTATAGCATGACTAAGATCTGATTCGTGTAATAGCAATAAACGCGTGATTTGTACCGTATTTCTTGCATTCATGTTTTAAAGTTATTTTAACGAGAAATATATAAACAATTTGTTCTTGGTCTTCAACTATTAAACATGTATTGTTAACTGTATGTCAATGGTGTCTCTCAATTCTTGTTTCATAAAATCATAATTCAATATAAAAATTTGCAGCCGCTGCGAGAATCAAACCCGCACTTCCGGATTCACGGCCAGACGCTTTAAGCACCAAGCTAAACAACTAATTGTCACATCATCGAAAATCTCAACGTATTTTAACTACATTCTTTTTTTAGCTGAACTTTTTAACAAATTTTAATGTGTCATCGTAATTGCGGAGATTAGCGCTATAAAAATTTAAATGACAAATTCAAAATTCATAATTAATAGTGTTTCCATTAAGCGCCTGCACAGGCAACTGAATAATTGTAGTATTTGCCAGCGGCCGTGTTTAAGTGCACTAAGATCTATCGTGAACAACTCATAACCATAGACAAGAAAATTCACTTCAACAATCCGTTTCATAATGATGGCCAAGGATATTTTTGTTCGACATTAAAATATGCGATAAGTATGCGATACATCAGGACTTGGCGCACGAGGTGACGGATATGAGGTGTTATTTCAATGGTCGTTTCTGCGATCTGATAAAATTATCTCAATTCCATCAGGATTCGATTCCCACACAGGACAACTGTGACACACAGATAAATGTTTCAGATCTGGGTGTTTTTCCGCTTAAAATTTACGTGCTTGAATTGTCCTTCCAACAAATGATATTGTTATGCTACAGTAAGGGAAATGTTTTTTAAAAACCCAATTCATCACCGAGTCCAAGAAGAACCGCTTTTAACTCAAGTTAAAACATCTTTCCTTTATTATCGTATTATTTTTCTCTTATTATTCACTTAACATTTTTTGTAAACGTTTATTAACGTGTAACACTATTTTGATACGAAATAATGTTAATAATAATAATTTTGTAGAGCAGTATAGGTCTATTTAAGTCATGACACGATATATATATATATCTATATATATATATTTAAAATGTTTATGTACCATATATTTCAATAGAATGCACCAGAAAAGTAATTGTAACTTTAATTTAAAGCCGTTTTTTTTTCGAACACAGCAATAAACCTCCAGCTGATAGCTGGAAAGCTCTTCGCTAAGCTACTTTAAGCAAATCGAGATTTTGTTACATAATTCAATAGTTTGTCAAACATAGCTGTTCAGTTTTTTATTAAATTAAAAAACATATATTGTTTGGTTTATACGTTTCTGCCTTAAAGGGCATAAAATATATTTTGCGACATTTTATTTATCGGAATGCACTTGGAATGGGAAATAAATGACATATTTACTAATTGGACTTTTTAAGAAGTTGCAAAAGACATCATTAGACGCTAATTTTATCGTTATGACTATAATTATATGCAATTCCTTAAAATTTTAGGTAGTTAACTGTTTTACAATAAATTGATTGTATTACTTATGTCAATGAGAGAATGTTTCGGAGTTTATTATTTAACATAGGTTCCTATGGATGGGTCTAAAGTTTTGTGAATTTAGCACAACGCATTCGGCACAAGAATTTCCGGTATTACGTAATCTAACCAGAAATGATACCTTTTAGAGAAGAGTCACTGCGCCGTCTCTTATTGATTCTATTGAAGTAGGAATGTTTAGTGTTCCTTTTCATAATGAGTTACTCTGAATTCGCATGCCGAACGCACTATGAACATGAGTGAAACAATTAATATCTCACCAAGGTCGGGGTGCTCCACTAGCGTCTCCTCGACGATGGATTGCAGCCACCAGGGCTCCAGATCGTTCATCTCGCGGCGCCGTCGGCCCCTCGACTCATACGGAAGATGCATCGTTCACAGCATCACACCCCGCTTCACAACCACCGGTTTATCGGGTCGGCTATCTCTTTTGCTTGATACAAAACAATCTTCGAAACAAGTGCCCAAATAAACAATGAAATCAACTAGGGAGCGCAACTGCAAGCTTCTTAAGCTAAACTGGCGATTATTGCACGCGCTTTCTCCACATTAAAGCAATGATGAGTAATTGTCTTTATTCAAACGTCTCTCCATAAATGTTCCTGGCACCGGGCCAGCGTTATTTCCCCTTTATTGTTCGACGAATTATCACTTTTTTTGTTCACACCAAGTGGCGTCCCCTTATCACGAAACTATAGTAATGAGTGATTTATGAGATCTTTGTAACTTAACGTTTGTACTAAATTAATCAGTCGATAATTGTGGAGTATTTTGTACGTCAACAAATTAACAGTACGTTCGGCACGTGCGGCGGCGGGCGTAAACAAATGTTTGTGTAACACCTTTCCTCAATGCGTACACACTGTCGGCGCGGACCTTGCGGATGTCTGTTTCAACTTGACTTTCGTCATTTTAAATGAGTCACATCGCTAGTTTTTTGGCGGGACCGTCGGAAAGCGAGAGCATCGCGGCGCGCGCGCCGTTCCGTGTGTCCCGCCTGCGTCGACGCAATCCGCGTCGGTGTCAGCTGATGGGCTTTCCGAGATATTTTCCCGCGCGTTGCGTCACCGTTGATGCGATAAGCGGCCCGTTTTTTCGCGGCCCGCCGCAGGTATTCACCGCGCCCGTAAGGTCTCGTCGCGTCGGATGAGTCACGGCGCGGAGGCTGCACGCGTGTGCTCCGCTCGCGCGACTCTCCACTACTGAGCCGCCGCCATTCTGTCACTCGCTGCCTCCATTCTCTGCGGTCAATCTGCGGTCTGGCCACGCTTCATTTGCCGGGAAAATGCGCGCCGCTCGCCTCCCGCTCGCGCGTACGCCGCGTACGGTGTGTGCGAGCGGGACGCGCGAAAGTTTTGTGCCATTAAATATTTTCGTTTTGTCCCACCGTCGCAAAGGAAATATAACGAGCTTTTTCATTTCGGCACACTATTGGGCGTCTCGCTCTTTTCTTTAATCGCGCGCGGGACGAGCCATAGAAGTCGTTTTGTAAAACTTCGCTGATAAACTTTTCGGGATGTTTACGGTAAATCATACAAAATATTTCAGAATTGCCCCACTGGTAATTATTACTAATGGATTCGAAGTAATTAACTGCATAATATAGTGACACAATTCTGTCGGGAATCGTGTTCACTTCGATAGACTACGCGAGTTCACTCTGTTGTCCGTCGTCTCTACCGCCGTGTGTTCCTCTCAAGTGGGATGGTTATTCTAGTAGATGTTGTGCGTAGAAGCAGGTCTAAGATTGGGGGGCGTACGCTCGACTGGGCGGGGCGCCCCGCCCGCCGCTAAGACGCGCCAACTCGCCGGGAAAAATTCGCGGCGTCGCGGCGCGTCGAAACACTTGTTGCGTCGTGCACTACGTTGGACGTTCTTCCTCTATCAGACGCCTGACGAGCTGCCAACGGTACCGATAGACTGCTCAATCTGTTAATTTACGACGCTTCATGCTATATACACTTCGTATATAATAAAACTTATATTGCATAGTACATATGTCTCGGAATGCAATTTGCATTCAAACTAGTTTTCTAAGATCTTCAAAGTTACAGATTTTGAGATAAAATTTGTTACTGTAATTTTTTCAGTAATGTAGACAAATAATTTAATCTAATCTCTTTGGTGCCTTGTGTTTGTGGTGTCTGTTTTATTACATATGTTTGTAATTGTATTTTATGAAGTTAAAAATAGAGCCGTGATAGCTTAGTGTCCGGGCGCTCGCCTTAATTCAATATACTCTATAGCAACCTGAGTTCGATCCCCGGTGCCGGCACCAATGAAGTTTTTAATTTTAAGTGCTGAATTATCACGTGCTCCGCGGTGAAGGAAAACATCGTGAGGAAACCTGCATATTTTCGAAATAATAACAAAAAAAAAAAGATATTTCGAATATATGTGAAGTCCGCCAATCCGCAGTGGGGCCGCGTGGTGGACTATGCCCTGATACCCTCTGTATAGAGGAGGCCTTTGCCCAGCAGTGGGACATGTATAGGCTGTTACTTTTTTTTGAAGTTAAAAATATTATACTAAAGATACTATCAATTATGTCTCAGATTTATACCACAAGCATTAATTTGTTTAATTCGGTGAATTTTGTGTGAAATTACGGCGTCTTTACAAAAAAGCTGAATGACAACCAAATAAAATCACTTCTGCGTTCATAGTATAGTATCATGATATATTTACTAATATTATATATATACTATACATTAGGTCCGTGGGGTCCCCGCACATCAAAATTTTTTAAAAGTTTATGTCCTAGGCTTAGCGCCGCGGCTTGTTACAAGAGAGATGGTTCTTTTCTCGCTCAAAGGTTAAGCATAACTATTCAGCGAGGAAATTCAGCTAGCGTTCTTGGCACCATTCCACGTAGGATTAGGTTTATTTAAAAAATTGATGTGTGGGGACCTCACGGACATAAAGTTTCAACAAAAAATGACACAAATACATAATCTATAAATAAAGACTGATATTTGCGCCATTTACTTACTTCAGCTGCCTCCGATGCCGCCCCGGCCCTGGCCGAAGTACCTCTCAGATGAGAGGCAGCCAAAGTGTCTACACAAGTAGCGACCCAAACAAGGGCTTTGCCTCACTCCCAAGGGATCAAAGATAAACCATCGGGTATCTTAGCATCGCCGCGAAAAATGGTACAGGGATCTAAAATAGATGGAATATTGATGGAAACAAGAGCCCTACGGATGATGTCGTTCAGGGAACTGTGGCGGCTAGCACTTTTTATAGATTACTAAGAATTTATTAGATTTCATTTTTGTAAATATTAGACAAATAAATATTAATTGGAGTTTTACATTTTTACACTATTTTGAGTTGGCACCATATAGTTGGTTCAAACCGTCGATTGACGGGAATAATTGCGTTTTATTTTACGTGTAAAGCTGAACAATGTAAAGTGTACGAAACGTATAATAGTTTAATTAAAACATTTGATTGTACACAATGAGTACATAGCTTTCCGGGCTCTTGTGTGGGTAGAGTCGGCGTAGAAGCCACGTGCCATAATTACCGTAAGAGCCAGTCCTGACCGAGGACCACAGCGCTTCGATTTTTGCGGTGGAGCGGCTGAGAGCGGCCACACAAGCCGAGCACGGGTCTCCCCTCAATTAGCTTGTCTCGGGGACGATAAGCCCACCGCTACAGAATCGAAGCGCTTAAACGGTTTCAGTGGTGGATAATGCGCATTCTACCAATTTACAACGCAGTTAAATATCCGCCTATATACGTACCACTGCTGGGCAAAAGATCGCTTTGCACAGACGGTCTTAGGACATAGTCCACCACGAGACTCCACCGCGAATTGGAATTTACTTCACGTACTTTCGAAACTTTCTTTTTTTGTTACATCGAAAATATGCAGGTTTCCTCTCGATGTTTTCCTTCACCGATGTGCACAATTTCTTTGGTGTCGGCACTAGGATGAACTCAGCTTGCTTGAGTATACTGAAATAAAGACAAGCGCTGGGACAAAGAGCTATCGCAGATCTACAAATCATTATACAATGATAATAAAATAGACATTCATTACTAAGCTCATAATTCACACGGTGGCTAAAATAATAACATTTTCGAAGTATGTGGAGAATTGAACTCAGTATATGAAAGTTATTTTTAATATTTTAACTGTTAATGTATATTATTATAAATAATCCAGACACAAGATTAACGTGGATTACATTTGTTAAATTGATTATTTTACATTTATTTTTAACAAGTTTTTTGTCATCTTTCCATCTCTCAAAACGTTTTCATAATTCCTGTGTCGCCTGAGGCTCCAAAAAATATGAAATCACATACGGGGCAACAAATTATTCTACCGTGTATAGATCGAACCCACAACACTGCACATAACAGACGACAACTTGATAACACAACCACTACCATCCATATAGTCCAATTAGCTTAAGAGTTTTGAAGAGAAAGATTGAATCGTCGACTGATTGATAAGTAGTCTACTTAATAGTAAAGTCTGTCTATTTACTGTAAGGGATATACAATTAATGGTGTAATGGAATACACTCGACTTATTTTCTTTGGGCCTTATATTGATATTGCTTTCACAAACAAACTGAATGGGATCGGGGAGAACATTAGTTCAATTGCACGTTGCACTCATAATCCCGCTTCTGACGTAAATTATAATGTTGACTTTAATCATCATCATCATCATCGTCAGCCCGTATCAGCCCACTGCTGGGCATAGGCCTCCTCCCTCTTGCCATAAGGGGAGGAGGCCTATCTTGGCGAGTCTTCCTGTCACGTTGGCCTCCTATGCACAAACATTCGAAGATTTTTCTAATGGTTTTGCACAGGAGTTACCGAGGGGCACCACTAGGAGGTGTGGGTTCGGAATTTGAGTCACTGACCATATGCAGTTCTCATACAGAGTTTGTCCATTGATTTTAATAGTCTGGGCCATCTTGGGATCAGTCTTACCGACTCATATGGTGTTATGGCAATCGTTATGTCATGCGCAACACTATTATAAAAAAAATATGCGTTATGAATTTACAGGCGATATTTGTACTTATATGATTTGATATATATATTTGAATGGGCGTTGTCCATTCTAATAATATATCCTGGTTTACGGGTTATGTTTAACCAACTGTTCATTGTAAATTTAAAGACACGATGTTTAGAATTTCTAAAAATATAATATTTGCCTATATTTACCTATTATTTTTTTTATTTTAACACACGTATAAAGTAATCTACTTTCGTAGCTCGTTGATTTTGTGATAATTTAAGAATCTTGTTTTATTCATTAATTGAAATTTATAAATATTTCTATTACAGTTTGGCTGTTAATGGATTAACATATATTATAGTTTCAGATTAACGTCCATTATGTACAAGACCTGTGTTCCGCGGGTGTATAATTATGGAAATGTCGGCTATGATTGTGTTACAGTGTCCCGTCTAACAAGCCAGCTTGTTTGCAAACCTTCGTTGCAAATCGGACTTGGAGTATTGTTATTACGTGTTTGTAAGTGACGTTGGTACTGTTAATTTTATTCATGTTTAAGTTGAGACCATAGCCTGACCCTAATATATACATTTTAGTCTGATTTTAGTACATATTTAAAGAACTATCTTGTTTCTTAACTACAAATGTTTTTCTTATTAATTTAAGCAAAGAAATTTCGCCTTCTTTATCTTCGATGACTCGGTAGCGCAGTTGCTTCGGCGCCGGGGTCGTGGGTTCGATGACCGCACGGGATAAGTAATTGTGTGACCCACAGATAATTGTTTCGGATCTGTTTGTGATTATTCCCAAGGAGGGTTGACATCAGGTGACCGGTTGTATGAAATCTGGCTAAAACCACTTACCTACATAATGATTTCCATGTTATGCTGACCCCATTTTCGTGGGATAAGGGCAGGAGGATGATGATGATTTTGCCTTCTTTAATAACGCACTTCTCTAAGTTCGGATGGGTAATGGGGATCTGGCAATATGGCGAAGTGTCTGCTCGGTTAATTAGGCTACGAAGAATACAGTATGGAGGGGATTCGGTCGCAAAATACCGCTCTTCATTCCATGCTTGAGGCCGGTATGGCAGCAAACATGTATTGAGCACGCAAAGGCACCCCCTGGAAGGGGTTTGTGGGAGTCCCGGAAACGAGTACCCACTAAAAACCCACGTTGTACCTGTCTCTGTCGCATCGGCCGGCAACACGTAAACGTAACCTTACCACGTTTTTACGTTCTTGATCTCTAGAAAATTTTAGCAACCGTTTAACAAACCGTTTAGCTCTGAGTCCGATTGCTCGCATTTATTTCAATATACTCGAGCAACCTGAGTTCAAATCCCGATGCCGGCAACAACGAAGTTGTTGATTGAATTTTTAAGTGCTGATTTATATGTTTATCAGGTGCTTAGCGGTGAAGGAAAACACCGTGCGGGATTCTGCGTATTTTCGTGAAGAGTATGAATTTTATGTGAAGTCCGCCAATCCCCAGTTGAGTTGGTTAGTGAGCTATGCCCTGTGTACAGAGGGGATTTTTTGGGACATATATAGTCTGCTCCTTTTTTTACTTCACTTTAAAGGTAATTTGGACACACAGAGATGGAAAACGCAGCCCAGTTATCGAGACTCAGTATCCACCCGAAGATAATGTGTGATATTACCTAACCCTGAGGATAATCACACTTTTTTCCGCTTGAGGGAAACTCCTATTCGAGGCACTTTAGCGCCTCCTGAGCTCAGGAGCTGGCTGAACGTCAGTTGTTCAGCCAGCTCCTTCAATAACTGCATCGGCAAGAATAACGGCATCTTCAATAACTGTTATTTGTAGTCCACGTAGCGGGATACACAGCTGAATGCCACCATTGTGACCTTTATGCTGAGGAAACATACCCAGCAAGAGCTAGTGGTGTACCCAGCCTGAACGGAGCAGCACTGAGAGCTGTTCGCTATCGTGGGGCGCGACCTCCTGTTATCTGCCGTGGTTCGCGCCATAATGGACATAGAGAGGGCGCTGGGTGCTTTCCCCGGAGAATAAGGGAGGCAATTGCTGCTCCGGAGCTCTCCGCATTTTTTGTTGAGTTGAGACCATTTTTGACATCATCACACAGCACAATACATTTCTTATTACATGCACCATTATTGTTTTTATAACTCTTAAATATTCTATTGTATTTGTTTCTTTATTGATAAGTCTTAAATTTGTTTTTTTTTTGTAATAACATGTGTGTGCTTTTAATTTGTTTTTTTTTTGGAAAGGATATTTAGATATTATTTTGCAATTTGTTATATTCATCACATTTCGATGTTAGTTATAAGCCCTGTTTGTTTTTGGTCAAAATAATGTGTATGGCTATGGCTATGGATATTCACCACCGGAGATCTGGGTGCACGAGGCTTGGCTAAGCATGTTGGCGTGAGGTGTCTGCTGCTCAATATGGGTGTCGTGAGGGTTCCTGTGCACTGGCACAGTACCAAATGGCTAGGCCGAGTGCCTTAGCAGAAAGCTTATAGAGAGGACGCCTGAAGAAATTGATAGAGAGAGATAGGCCAGCCTTTCGTGTGACAGAGACAGGTGCAACGTAGGTTTTTGGTAGATATTTTATCTATTGCCACGCCGTATTGCTTATACAGGAATTTGACGTTGAAATATTGTGTGACGTTGAATTTTATGATTACTTTCACTTTCACTTTCAGTTTAAGATCAACTTCATTTCGCTATAGCCATGCACTGGCTTGTTTTGCATAAATGAGCCGGCTAGTCTAAGAGGTAAAACGACTTTATATGAGACAGGGTAAATTAGTTGCATAAACAGTTTTACATTTTGCCGTCCATTGCAGGGTGAGGTAACGGATCAGTTATTATCATATATTATATAATGTAACAAAATGATGACTTTTTTATTTTTTTTTTATTTTGTCTTGTATTAACTTACACTAACGTTACCTTATATATATGCTTTCAGTCCCGAGACTATGAAAGCTTCATCGAAAGCAGAACTGGTGGGCTAGAACCCACGCGTTTGAGGCCCTCCACAGTGGGTAGGGCCATTACATTTTATTTTTATTTAGAGGTGGAATAAAATTGGTGTTGTTTCTATTTCCTTAAGATTATACAACATAAAGAAGTAACCTTGAATAAAAATTCTTAACCGGAAATATCTCTCTGTGAGTCAACTGAGCATCGGTTGTATAATATGACAATAAGCACTGTCAAAGACTACATAATTAGACAGTATTGCATTCTTGTTACACTTTTATATCGGGCATTAAGCATTAAAAATCGCATTAAAAATAGGCCTGTAGAAACTTGTTTCGTAAATAGCAGTACTTAGTTAATTTCATATTAATGAAGAGGTAATAATTAATACGGAACTGCGTTTCAATATAATACGGAATGACTGTCTGTTTAAATCAATATTGTACTTATGAAGAACACATCACAATGAAATATAACTTATGATATCGAGAAAAGAAAGATAATTCAAAATTGGGACCACTTCACAGACTAACTACACACTTTTTCTATGCAATATCTCCACAATGAATGTAAGTCAATAAACCTAATACGATTATTATGTAACAGAATACCAACATTTTAATTACACTAAATGTCATGTTAATTCAAACAATAAATGTAAATAAAGATCAGGGTAAATTAAATTGTTTTATGGTTTTATCGCGTTAAATATGTTTATAGAATTCCCGACGCTTCGAATACTTTCCAGTATTCATGGTTACAGACACGTCTGAATATTTCATTTTCAATGTGCCGTATTCGTGTAAACCCAAGGAATCATTACCGATCAGTATAAAATAATAATATAAGACAGGTTTTGTCAAGCATTGATTTATACAAAGATAAAATATTACGTAATTCTATACTTACATATTTAAACCGGCAAATCGCGAGTCGGACTCTCACGATCGAAGGGTTCCATACCATTATCTATAATAAAAATCGGTAAAAAAACTTTTAAGTTAAACGGTAAAAACGGTTTTATGTTTTTTTTTGTTAAACTTTTTTTTTGTTAATATTGTATTGTCATCTAAATTAAATGTGTGTACCAGAGTTCAGATTAATCTGACAACGGCAAGGTGCTTAAATTTCAATTTCTAATTTTGACCCAATCAACAAATTCCGTACGGGTCGAGCTAAATAAAACCGTTTGAAAATTGGGAAAACATCATGTCTATTGTACGGGAGCCCGGCTTTAATATTTTTTTATTTTGTTGTTTAGTATATTTGTTGTTATAGTGATAACAGAAATACATTATCTATGAAAATTTCAGGTGACTAACTATCACGGTTCATGAGGTAAAGACAGACAGACAGATAGATAGCGGAGTCTTAGTAATAGGGTCCCGTTTTGTCTTTGGGTACGGAACCCTAAAAACAAAGTAGGTAAAGTTACGTATTAATTTCAACCCAAACTTGCATGAAATTTGTAAGCATACCAACCGTTCATCCGATCGATCTTTTACAATGATGGAAATTGTTATAAATTATTGGATGATATTGCAATAGGTAAAATGTATCGGAATAGTGATGTGTTGACCGAATTAACCTTGTATTATGACGCATTTGGATGTCGATTTTCCTGATGACTCCTCGATTAATCTATTACGTGCATATTAAGGCCCATTTACATGGTGCCAGTTTCTTACCTGTTGTATACAATTAAATTGAAGCAATAAATGAGTTGCATGGTCTAAACAACAAATGGTCTTACCAATTATTGCGCGCAATTTATTGCATTCAATTATTGCTCTTGCATGTACAAGAAAATGGCATCGTGTAAATGGGCCTTTACTGTAGTGACGTGTGGTCTGTTTGCGCATTCGTCAATGTATCTTTTGTTTATTATTGCAATGTTTCATGTAGTTTATGTTATTTCATACTGTGCACTGTTCAAACTTCGGAGTTTTATTCTACAAATAATATTTAATTCACATCGCAGCCTATAAATTAAATCGCAAGATAGCTATTTGAATAAATAATAACTAAACTGTGCACTAAGCGTAAACGAGCTTCTATCATGAATACGCAATTTCGGACCAATCTGTTCTAGTAGATGTTTATAAAAAATGTCGGCGTTGAGAGCGCTCTATAATTAGAAGGGTCCAAGTTAATGCCACACACGCGTTCAACTATTGTTCACGTCCGTTGTCTAAAAATGATTTGTGAATGTTTAAATTAGCGGAAATCGTTTGATCTTGTTTAGACATATTTGAATTGTTAAATAATCGGCTTAACCATATGAGCCTATTAAACTCCTTCACTTATAAGTCTCAGCTTTGAAAATGACTTATCATAATTATATATACCAAGTGCAATTGGCACGCATATGTAAAACCATGTAAGTGTTTAAACAGATAAAAGGGATACTCCAAATTAAAAACACTTAAAAATTGTCCATGTCTTGAAATTATAATTTTTGTTTTCCTTCTTCTTTTAAAATTTTTCTTGTAGTTTAAACTATTGTACTTATGAATCTATGGTCTGAAATAAGAAATGTTACTAATTTCTAATTATGTTGAATATTAATTACCTGGGGTTTATGTAATTATAAATACCAACGGTTTATGTAATTACAAATACAATGCATGTGCATAACACATTAAACCCCAACTAGACGGGTGTTCTCTGCCAGTCAATCTCAATATTATATTTATTTATCGATTTTTTATCGTATAAATTTATTATTGTTTGTTGATAAAAAAACTTAGTTTAATCCCCCACTAGATGGAGTGACGACTTGAGCAAGTGTGCGGGAATTCGAAGGATGTAGGTGGCTCAGGATCGTGTTTGGTTGCAGTCTGTGGGGGAGGCCTATGTTCAGCAGTGGACTTAAACAGGCTGAAATGATGATGATGATGATGATAGTTTAATAAGACGTAATCTATTATTAATTTATTTGAACTGGTTTAATAACTAAATGCATAAAAAAATATTATTATTCTGATGTGATGCACAAATTATGTTGTATACATGCATTTAAATTAAAGGTAAACTCAACATCGAATAAAATACTTCATTTAAGGAGAACAATAATCTACAAAGTAATATTACTATTAAATATGAAAATTAGATAAACAAAAAATTTAACATAACTTATATAATGTACGAAACGAAAAAAAAATTAAATATTAATGAATACAAAGTTTATTAATTTTTGGAATATACAGAACAATGATCATTTATTTTTCTTGTATAACTGTAATTTTGATTCAGTTATTGAAATATACCAAATAGACCATATCAAATTTCATATGGTGTAATAAAAATGCGTTAGTATGTTAAATGTTCTCAGAAAATGAATTACATGTAGTATGATTACATAAATATTTATAACATTATATGTAAAATTTCATCGAATATATTATGTATGTAATATATATGTAAATCGTATTATTGAATGCAGATACTTTATAATGATTACGTTCTTCATGTTTGAATTTTCTGAGAACATTTACCATAGTAACGTATATGTTTTTATATCATATGAAAGTTGTTGAGATTTGAACGAACAAATAGCCCACCGACTTATTTTAAAAAAGCTAATATTTTCGATTGAAAATTAGGGTGCTTTTTCGATATTGAGTCAAAATAAACTGAAAAAATAAAAATTTCATATAAAATTAATTACAGTGTATTTGGGACATAAAAAGGAAAGTTATCCCCAATTTTCGTGAAAAATAAAAACATTTTTGTAAAAGATAAAAATAAAAAACCAAAAACTTGGTTATTTGAATTTTTCACATAAATTTTGAGTTTATGTGAAAAAACTGTAAATCCAAAAGTTGTATCTTTTTATTATCTAGAACTTTGCCATTGAACTTTTTTTCTATAGGCCTTGTAGTTTTGCCGAAAATCGAGATGAACCGTGTTTACCCTATTAAAAATTGACTCCCCGCCCACTTCCCGAAGTCAGATCGCCCGTAATTTATTTTTACTTTCATTTTTATCATATACCCCTCATTTTTCTATGAGTTTTTTTCACTTCTTACCATTTTTAAAGGCTTTATTCAGCCCCAGTCTAAAAAGCATCCTAGCTAATTGCTACTTGAATTTCAATATTTACTAAAACGACATCTATTGTAAATCACTTTAAACATTTCGATCTTCATTTCATTTTTGTAGTTTTAGAATGTTTTAAAGATGCCACTTATTACGTAGACACAAGAAGAAATTCAGAGTTTAAAGAGGTAAATAACACACTGTATAAAATATATACTTATAAAGAAATAAGTTATATACCACTGGTTTAGTTGTAAGCTTTAATTTTAATTTTTATAGATATATTAAACTTTTGTATACTCTCGACATCTATCATTTAGAAGATGTATCTCAAGTGTTTACGCGGCGTGTTCGTTGTTTGCACTCATCACTAGATGGCGCTTTTCACTATTACTTGAAAGACATTAGAAGCATTGAAAAAGAAATAAAGTATGTGTATGAAACGAATTAACTATGCCCTTTTGGTAAAGCAACAACTATTATTTAAGGTGTTAAGTCCATTTCCAATACAAAATAACAAACTTATTTGTGAATTAATAAAATGAATTTGATTTTTAAGATTGAATGAATTTTTGTAGTAAATTGTTACAAAACTTACATTACATTTTTAAAATCTGTTACTAGATGGCAGTTTATTTAATCGATCTAAAAGAAAAAAAATGTCTTTTAATTACGCTCGAATAATTCTAACTTGCAATGTTTATCTGAATTTTATATATACTTTTTAATTATTAACAGGCAGTATGTGGAGGAGGCTTATATATGCTATTCACTGCATTACGGTGCAATATTTAAAATGCATTTATGTTTTGGACCATCCCACAATCCTCATCACAGGACTATTTTTTATATTTGTTATGATTTAAAAAAAAAAAACATTCACGTATTCTAATCATTTTAAACCATTATTAACGACAAGCGCGAAATCATTGATAACAAATTTAGTACTTCAACCACAAAATTTGTATCAATCTGGTTAATTGTTTGATATGAATCAAAGGACAAACTATAATGAATTAAAATAATTACAAGTTATAGACTGAGGCTTGTCGAGAGTTCGTGGGTATACTTATTTAAAATTTGTCATAAATTGCGAATTACCGGGTATGTGTTTTGCGAAACATCTTTTATATATTAATATTTAGAACTGTCAAATTATTTTAACTTTAACTAAAATAAATAATGTCGATATTCTTTAATTGAAGCAATGAAACTTGTCTTTCATAAAACGTTTTGTTCCTATCGAAACAAGACCAAATTAATGCAATAAAATTATGGTCAAAACTGGCTTACCTGTTGAAATGTTTGATGTTTAAGTTTATTAAGTATGGACCACATAATAAAGTAAGCTAACTACAAGTAAAGAAAACTAATTGTACAATTTTATACGAGTGACACCTAGGTAAATTATATGCGAACAATAAAATATAAGAAAGCGAGAGACGGTGACCAACAAAAGTACTTTTTTTAACAAACCTCGATAAACATGTTCTGTTGAAGGCGGCATCCATAAATAAGATTTCGGCAAAAGTAAATATTTGGATATAATATCAAAACATTACTAGGGTCCGAACGCGGTCACGCCCACCCTACGACACAATGGTATCTGCGAGCTCTACCGAACTGCAAATTGCCATTTCCACGCCATAAAGTTTTCTAAAAGTTCACCCGTCTGAATGCAACGGATCACGAAGTGAACTATTAATCTTGCTTCGGTGAAAGAAAGGACGTTCGCGGAATGGATTTGTGTAAAGAGACACATCTTTACGTCTCACATTCCATATAGGGAAAAGGTGCACCAACAATATGTATTCAGGTGTTACTTCTTTACGCGTATTGTATACTTGATCTGTTTCAAAGTTTGTAGCAAGTTTATACTTTTTACCATAGATGAAATGGCAATCAGATAATTTTCAAGTTTGTATTAATATTATTTTACATTTCCGTGAATCAATTAAAATATCTTAACCAATCACTGTCAGATACTTTCATGCAAAAGAATATGAAAAGTAGTCTGCTATATTGTTTCTTCAAGGAAATTACTTTTATAATTTACTTTTATCAATAATTATGAAGAATAAACAGAAAAAGAAGCAGATTTAAAAAGAAATAAAGTCATTATGTATCAAAAGTACTATTTAGGCCTGTGCTGTATAGTTAGAGCATTGTCGTAATTAACATTCGGCTTTTTAACAGAAGAACTTTTTACCATAAACCTAATAAAGTAACTTAATACATTTATAACTATTAAATATAAATTTTTAAGAAACTTATGATTTTTTCACGCTATAAAGGGTTTTTGTAGTATGAAGGGCTATTTATACTATAAAAGAGGCTTTAGAGGCTTTAGGCTATAAAAAACCCATTTACAGGTAGTAATTTAATTTATCGGTAACGTTGTTTGCAGCTCATAAGTGGAAACTCTAGCTTAAAATAATATTTACCAACTATGCTCTGTTTAAATAACTACTTCCGCATTACATTGCGGTTAATTTAATCTAATCTTGATCTTAATGCCCTTTTAAATAATGAAATAACCATTCATCTTTGCAACCGTTAAATGAAGCATTCATGTAAATAAAAGAAGACGATGAGGAAGGATTCTGACTCCCTGGTACTACTATAAATCTGGGCTATTGTTACCATTAGCGGCAAAAATCTATCTTGGCCCGATAAATAAATAATTTTCTAACCTTCAGAGCATCTAGACTTATATTATGTATATTTAGTTTCATATAAGTGTAACTGCGTTTCGCGTAAATTTAGAAAAAGTATGTTTTACATAGATTTATCGTGAGTTAGTAGAAAAAACGTTTATTATTAGACGTCCCACTAGCGAAATCGGTTAGGTGATAATATATCATTGTATCGATGCGAGGCCCGCTTTTTAAGAATGAAACACGACCGACGAAGGCGAAATAGTCGCGTTTCCCAAACGCCTCTGCATAGACGTCATCCAGGGCACATTGTTCACCGCCAGGGGTTTCCTATCAACGCTACACCATTTATTATCTGATAACTGAATGGCTTGTCGCATCGCGCCCAAACAAAGCTTTCTGAGGTGTAACGCGGCCAGTGCAACTTGACCCCCGAGTTTGTATGCAGCGGCAGTGTTTGTACGTCAGCGCGGGCGCACGCGGCGCGGGGAGGATCATCGTTGCGCGGTGGACGCGTTATAATACGTTTAATGGCCTGTAATGAATGGCATAACATCTATAAAGCGACAATACGGCCACTCGAACATGCCCCCGTATAATAATGCGTGATTTATCGACCTTCGCCGCGTAATCGGGATTGTTTTGCACGTGTTGTGAATGCTACGCCCCTGATCTTGATCGGACCCTTGAGAGGTCTTGCCTCCCGAATATTATCGGCCTGAGACACACCCGCACGCTTGACTTGGAGAGTAAGCTGGTGAAAGCGTGATGATGGCGTTACGAAAAGTGTGATCGGCGTTACGAACAGTTGGATATGACAAAATTAGCCGACGTATTCCCATCCTCGAATGCCATCTTCCTGTATACCCATATCATTAATTTCTCCCTGGATACTGAGTCCTTTCATTCCCAATGGCTTAAAGCTGTTGTCCATCCACTCCCAAAGTGCCTAAATCCTTCACTTCCTGCTCATCATAGAACTATCTGTATGCTGCCCTTACTCTCTAAGGCACTAGAATTGTGCGTCCTTAAACAACTTTCTCACTTTGAACATAGTAATAACCTTAATAATAACCTGTTGTACCCGTGTGTTTTTTTTATTATTAATAATGTAATGTTTCTTCGTGTACAATAAAGTATATTTTACTTTTACTTTGCTTTGCTTATAAGTCTACTACAATCTGGTTTTAACTCTGGACACAGTACCACAATCACACTCTTAAAAGTGACTGGCAATATTATGCTAGCTGGCATGGATAATAATACCAAAATGAAAGTCATGATATTAATTGAGTTTTCAAACGCATTATGGTTTCCCATGAAGTGTTGGAATAGTTTCAAAGGAATACTGTGAAGCACAATCCTCACTTGCAATTACGAGAGCCACTGGATCTAGCCAGTTCGCTCCAGTACTAGGTATTTTTCTTTATAAGGAGCACAGAATAAATTTTTGAAAGAGTCCCACTGCTAAATTTGATGCGCTTAGCGACCTTCATCTTGAACGCCCAATATTCTAAGAGAAAAGATGTCGTCTATCAATAAAAAGGTTCGTCTCTCCTCCGTTCAGCGGTACAAAAGCTCCGCTAGGATCGCGCGGATTCTACAAAGCGTTGAGACAGATGTCTGAATTTTATCTCACTTCCAAAAGCCTCCTTAAGACTGTCGGATAAAAGGTTTAGGCCCTCATTCGTATCGTGCTTACGTAACAAGAGGTATTGTCGTTAGACAAAGCCGGCATTAATGCGAAGCGAGATCACTTCAATGGAATAATCCACTTAGGGGCATGTCGCCGCTTTTTGTCAAAATACGACGATACGGTTCATTGGATGTTAAAAAAAAACGCCGCGGGATACCTTCTGTGTGCAAACACATTTTTGAGGGTAGCTGCCTAAAAAGATTCGTCAGGCAGATGGCGTTGCTACGTTTTTGACGGTATGAAACGCTTTGACTAACGATAAAGAACTTCGTTACAATCGACACTTGGTTTATCCATTGGTTTTTTTATGTGTTCGATCGTTAGTATTCCCTTGTTTATCATGTTGTAAGTTATAAGAATATTTTCCTATTAACTTCTTATATAAATAGTCTTGATTTGAATTTTGTTTCCTTTTCAGCTTTTGCAATAAAATGTCAAAGTGGCATTTATCTACATTATTTATACATTATTATCTATATTATTTCTTTTACTACATATTTTATTAAATTCATCTTATATTCTGATTGCACTCTCTCATTTCATCTTCAGCGTCAAAAAGAGATTTCCGTTAATTGTTCCTTCATGGCTAAATTTTAATTTAAATGAAATTAGTTTTGACATAAGCAGTTTCGTTTATTAATCTGTAAAAATTTTGCGAAAACTTTGTTGCACTTATTTAGAACATTACTAGGGTCATCTTAGATAATAAAAATTCGAAAAGTACGCAATGTTTACGGGTGCGAACGAGGAGTTTTAGATATTAGTGAGAAGTAATGGAAAAAGTCACTTTTGAACGATACTATTTAACCACAATCTATGTAGGTAGAACACAATTATCCCGATTAAACAAATATTATATAGTTTATAGTTCTGTAACGTTTCCTTTTATGTTTTTTTGATGTTCAATAAAGAATATATAATATAATAATATTCCGCTTACAAAAGACATTAATCAGCAACTAAAATATTGGTAACATATTATACATGTCCGGGCAGGCCGAATTTGATTATGGAAGCGTGTCGAAACTCATATTTTGTTTGCATATTAACACGTCACGTACGCGCGTATACCGATGCGTGGATTGAGCGCATTCAAACGGCGGGTCACCCAAGCTAATCCCCACGGCTGGTCACGGATGAATTGAATGTCAGCGCGATATACACTATGGGCTCGCGTCGCCGCGCAAAGAGCATTCGACCACAGCCCATATCCTTTCAATGGCTTTCGCTTTTTGTCGCAAACGTCGCTCGCCGGTTTCGACTTTAATATCTTGTTAGTTTGATTTATGCGTTGGAATAGTTAAGGTGTGACGTTCAGCGCAGGGCTGCCGCTAGCTTCAATGCACATATTTCATTGTAGGTCAAACATAATTTTTGAAGCACCACAATATATTGCTTGTCTATGTAATTAACTGTAATATATTTGTTATTAAAATATAGAATGTTAATGTTTTATAACTAGGAAGAAATTATTTGTAAAGAAAAAATAAGAAGAATTTTTCTAGAAATAAAGTATTGTTCGTTGAGATTGTGGAAACTTTGGATATATATGTAAATAACACGGGTAACTCATATTACTTGATATATCATAATAGGCCTTAGCATCTATGACAGATGATCTAAGTAGCGTCGCGGTGACATTTACGCTCGTGGCTGAAGAGGCCGATCCTAGAGGTGATCCCTCGGCCGCACCCTCGGCAAGTAAAGCCCCCTCGTTGTTCGGGGTTGGCGGCTCTTTCTTTAAAAGATCGAACCAGGATTCGTCGTGCTTAGATTGGCCTTCTCGAACAAGTTTGCGCCACTTGCCTCGGTCTGCCGACAGCTCTTCCCATTGCTGCGTTGGAATGTTAAATGCGATCATATCACGCTTGCCGCAATCTTTAAAGCGCAATATAGGTCGCCCAATGGGTCTTTTTGCATCTGCGAGCTCTCCTAGTAAGATTTGCCTTGGCAAACGAGCCTGTTCCATGCGATGCACATGCCCGAGCCACCTGAGCCTTCTCTGTTTGAGGGTGGCGGTGATACTGGGTAGTTGCGCAGCGCCTAGCACAGACTCGTTTGTCATGCGGTCTCTCCAGGTGACGCCTAGTATGCTTCGAAGACAGCGCATGTGGAAACTGTTCAGCCGACGTTCTTGCTTTGCATATGTCGTCCAGGATTCCGCTTCGTATGGTAGTGCACTAAGAACGCACGCTTCGTAAACAAGCATCTTTGTTTTTAACGTTAGATGCTTGTTGTCCCAAGCCCTAGAACGGAGCTTCCCGAACGTGGTGGCCGCTTTGCCGATGCGGGAATCGATCTCTGCATCAAGCGAGAGATTGCTCGACACTTGCGAACCCAGGTAGCAGAACTTGCTGACCACCTCCAGTGGAGTGCCGTGTAGCAGAATTACTGGAGACTCTGAGTTTCCTTGCGCTAAAATTACGGTCTTCTTAGCGTTGATAGACATGGAGAATAGGTCACATGCTCTGGCAAATTTGTCCACTAGTTTCTGGAGCTCAGCTTGATCGTGGGCGACGAAGGCAGCGTCATCAGCAAAGAGAAGGCTGTCAACAAAGAGGTCCTCTCTGTGACGCTTGGACTTGAGCAGGGAGATATTGTACAGCCTACCATCGGATCGTGTGTGAAGGTGGACGCCCTGATTCTCATTACCGAAAGCAACATTAAGAAGTACAGAAAAGAATATTCCAAACAGGGTTGGAGCCAAAACACAGCCTTGAAGAACGCCTCTGCGAACGTGAAACGGCTCTGACGATTCGCCATTGTGCAAAACTGTGGCCTCCATGTTCTCGTGGAATGACTGTACTATCTTTAGAAGTTTTGGCGGGCATCCAATCCTAGTAAGAACTGAATACAGCCCCTCCCTGCTCTCAGTATCGAATGCCTTGTTCAAGTCCACGAACGCAACGACTAGTGGAGTCTGCTGCTCTCTACACTTCTCTTGTAGTTGACGAAGAGAAAATATCATGTCAACGGTTGAGCGCTGACACCTAAAGCCGCATTGTGTCTCGGGATACACGCGGTCAGCAAGTTTCTGCAGTTTGCCTAGGATTGTTCTAGCAAAAGCTTTACCGACGATACTGAGAAGGGATATTCCGCGGTATCAGTGACACTTTGGATGACACGAGGCTGTGATCAGTGTCGCAGTCAGCGCTATGAAAAGCCCGCGTATGGAGAGTTTCCCGTAGGTCCCTCACTTTGGTAAGGACAAGGTCCAGTTGGTGCCAGTGTTTTCGATCGGGGGTGCCTCCAGGAGACTTTCCGCATGAATTTGCCCTTGAAAAAAGTGTTGGTTACACACAACTGGTGCCTGGAGCAAAACTCCAGCAATCGCTGACCATTCTCGTTTTGCTTACCTACACCATGTGCACCAAGGCATTCAGGCCAAGCGGTGGTATCCTGGCCGACGCGAGCGTTAAAGTCACCTAAGATGTAAAGTCTGTCTGTTGAGTGTACCCCACGAATTGTTTCCTCGAGCCAGTCGTAGAATTGATCTTTGCTCTCAGGTGTGGAATTGAGCGTCGGAGCATAAGCGGAAACAAGCGTGACAAAGCCGCACTTTGTATTAAGACGCAAGATCATAATACGCTCAGACACCCCAATAGGTGTCTCTGTAGCGTTTAGTAGGTGATTACGGATCGCAAATCCTACACCATGCTCACGGTTCTCTGTCGAACTCTTGCCCTTCCAGAAAAAAGTGTAGTGCGCCTCGCGTATAGACCCCTCGTCTTCGATTCTGGTCTCTTGTAAGGCCGCGATATCGACGTTGAGCCTTTTGAGTTCGATGTCGATATTATAAGTTTTGCGCAGGTCTTGGGCGCAATCGAAACTCCCACAGGTGTTCGGAAAGCCTGTCCTCATTGTTCGGACATTCCATGACGCGAAGCGCATGTAAGTAGCATTGATGTTGGGTTTGGGTTTTTGTGTATTTGTTTGAGCAGGTGTTTGTAGTTATAGCAACAACATCTAGCTGTGAGGCTTGTGTTCTGTTCACCCAGGCAGAACACGTTGGTGCTGAGGCGGATCAGTACCTTATTGGTCGAGGGCTGCCCGACTTAGAGCAGGCGGTAACTGATCAGTGGACCTACAAAGGATCCTCCTACTGTCGGAAGTGACCCCTGGCGCCCGCACTTACGCCTATTGGTGCTGACTTACAACCGGTAACTGCCACTTCACGTGTTGTTTTCCACCTGTAAGGCAGGTGGGCGAAGTGACCTCTCCGCGGATGCTACTACGCCTGGGTCAGACGACTATATGTCAGCACGGGCTTGCCCAGAACCCGTGCCACCCTCTCCTCCTCCCCGGCAGGTTCCACAGGAATGACAAGTCAATACGTGTGGTGCCGGTTCGGCCGCAGGTGCCTGGCTCTCGCCTGAACGGAAGCACCGTTCCGGGTTTATAGCTAGTTTTCCTTCTTTTTGGGGAACTAGATAATGGTGTCCCTGGAGAGGTAGGTTAGTGGGAGTGAAGGTGGGAAGGGAAGGAGGGGGGGTGTGATACTACTGTCACGGGATGCATGTGGAATGTGCCAGTAGTAGCTAGAGCAGTCCGGGGTCGCGTACCCGTAGTGGTTCCAGCCAGTTATCGGACAGGTAGCTGGTAGCCCCACCCTCTGGACTAACTTGATATATCATATCGTAAATAATCAAATAGAATTCTCTTTAATGCGTATAAAAAGTTACTTTGAATGGCGGTGGCAGCCCTAGCCTTGTATGGGCCTTTGTTGAAAGCAAGGTTTTGTTGGAATTCGAGAAATATTGTGCGAACAAAATGTTTCTTAAACATTTTGAGTGAAACGATTTCACGGGCTCTTATTAAACGTACGTAAATGAATTGTGGGCATTTATACTCCATTTGAGTCAAGTGGAGATGATAAACGATTCCCTTTCCTTCTGTTAAGCGGTGATCATTATGACGAAGTTTTTACGAAATTCGCATAATTAAATTGTCAAATTCGTATTCATCAAAGCGGCATTTGTGGGTAAATTAACAAAAGTTATGGCTTAATGGTTGGATTATCGGAATTGTAAATGTTAAGGTTC